TGTGAAATGCAAGATAAAAAAATGCGAAATGCCAGATAAAAAAATGCGAAATGCCAGATAAAAAAATGCGAAATGCCAGATAAAAAAATGCGAAATGCCAGATAAAAAAATGCGAAATGCCGGATAAAAAAATGCGAAATGCCAGACCAAAAAAATGCGAAATGCCAGTTAAAAAAATGCGAAATGCCAGATAAAAAAATGCGAAATGCCAGATAAAAAAATGCGAAATACCAGATTAAAAAAATGCGAAATGCCAGATAAAAAAATGTGAAATGCCAGATAAAAAAATGCGAAACGTGGTATGCGTGATTGACATGGTATAGTCACGTGATTGACAATTAAAATGAGAAGAGTAAAAGAACGAAGTGAAAGCGAGGCTTGTCAGTCTGTCACACAAACCACATTGATCATAACCCAGGCTAGTTATACTTTGAATACTCGCCCGAGACTTCGCGCATCCCAAACGCTTGTCCACGTGACGTGTGATTGTGTTGAGGCGGGGAATTGCTTCAAGGGTCATCCCTGTCCCCCATGAAGCGATAAAAATTATAGGCTCCTAAACTAAGAGTCGGAGGAACTGATGCTCCGAATTTAGATTTCTATACGCAGATAAAAAAGCTTATATTTTATAAATAAAAAACGAACTTTACATTTTTCAGTTATGACACATGGATGTTGGAAGGTYAAATACCGAATGATATACGAATTCTATCCGAGGTTTTCGATAAAAAATCGGGGAACAGTCGTGTAGAATCGACCAATTTCTGGAGAAGCACGAAAATGATTCCCTTACTTGGATGTCTCCCTTACTTGGATGTCTTACGTAAATCAGAATATAAATAGCGTTCAAAAACAATTTTTCATAAATATTAAATATTATTCCTATCGCTGTAAAGTATACTATAAGAGCTGAACTGCAAAAGCTGGATAGATATGCTGTAAAGTCGATGCTCAAGCCAAAACGACTTTTAGTTTAGAGTTTTTTAAAGCACAGAAATAATTTTTTWAAATTAATCTTTACCTTTGGTCTGAGGGTTCGTTTCCAGCATATGAGTCAAGCTTTCCATCGTTGAGAAGTTTGTTCTTCCTTCTAAAGATTCAGTGTCAAACTCAATGTCGAAGTACAGACCTATCTTTGTGTGCTCGCGTTTACTGCCTCCAGCTTCTCAGCGTCGTTTTATTCATGTTCGAACTCTGTTGCTTTATTTATAGCTGCAAACACTTGTGTTTTGGCTTTGCAGAAGGCAGAAGAACAATGGAACAGAATAACTAGGGTAAAACTCAGTCACAAGCAAGCGAATTGTTGATATAAACGATGGTTTTTTAACCAGGCTGAATGCATCAGCAAACCAAACACAGCGGACGAGTTGTTTTGGAATGGCGGGAATATTCAAATACTAATATTAGACGTGAGCCTGCACGAAGGAATGTGCCGAGTGTTACAGATTGCAATATTATGAATATCACATATAATAAATAGACCTATACAATTGAGAATAGATTTTTTGTTTATTATATCAGTCCAGTTATGGTTTGGATTTTTATTTGAACTAAACAGTTGGCTTGGAYCCTTTATCGAYATAATAGTTGTATCTCCCCCCTATTTTAAAAGAGAAGAACCTTTTACTTATCGCCCTCAATCTACAGATGCATTGAAAAGACAAGGCAAAAAGAAAGTAAAAAAAATGAAAAAGAAAACAACTTTAAATAATTTCATCCCTCAAAAGTCTTTTACAGTCTTCACAGSAGTCATGTTGAGGRACAAARCAAAACTTTTCACCTCTTTRGAGTTATAATCTCACACAACCTTTTCACATTCAGTAATACCACTGTGATRGTTGACTACAGGCTCGATTTTCACATCTTTAGCCTCGTTTAAAAGCAAATCATTCACGAAAGCCAACTGGAATGTCAAKAATGTGCTATTTGCTTTAAATGTTTTTTAGTAAAAATACGCAGGTGATTATAGAAAATCTCGCGCACTGATTGGTCAAGAAACTCGAAAATCCAAAATGGCGGCCAGCTGCTTTGTTGCTGTTACCGGGAAAAAATGCCTTTTATCTTCTTTTTTTTCTCTTTTTTTTGAAAGAATCACCTGTGTATTTATACTTAAACAATTATTTGTCTCAGGCTCAGTGATTATTGTGGAATATTACCTCGCCGCTCGAAGACTCGCGTCTCGGTAAATATTCCCCAATAATCACTTCGCCTTCGGCGAATAATTGTTAAATAATCCCACGGACGTTTAATGCTGTCTTTAAATAGCTGACTTATAGACGAGGCTAAAAATGTATAACGAGTCTGCRGTCATCAAAACCAGCGGTCTCGTCGGATGAGAAAGAAGACTATTGCCCTACAACATGGCTGCCGTGAAACCCATCGATCCCCGTGACATTGTCATATCTTACTGCGCAGATACATTGTCATTAACATTAGAKATATTATTCCCAGCCGGCCTATATCTGCCTACRACAAAGATCTTGCCATCAGGTGACTTGGCTTTCCCCATTCCAAGCTCCTTGCTTCCCTTCCACACGACTTGAGTGAAGTGTCCAGTACCGCCTTGGAAYCCTCCTTTCTTGAAGTCATACTTCTTCACCTCAGAATACCAGGTATCAACAACGTCACTACCTGTAACGTCTGGCTTGCCCATCATCATGAAMACGTTCTCTCCATCACCATTACGTTCTTCTCTTGCCGCGTGTTGGAGTTTGCCTGATTTGGCGACTTTCTCTGCCCAGGCWTGCGCTTCTTTTGCCATCGAGTCAGACCAGGTGAGTGGCGGGGCATGGTGCATAGAGCGGTACTTGTTATGCACGTCCAAACATTGTTTTGCAAATGAGTCCATGTTTAAGTTCTGTGTGGAGATAAAAATAAGTGTGTTATGAGAACACCCTACGGTCCTTGGATCGCTTTGTCTAAGCTGTAATCAGCAACCTTAATTATTTTCACTGTAARATATGTTGCCTAGCAACAATGACAGTAAAAAAAATAGCAGACAGACTGAAAAAAAGAACTTTTTTAGACTAGGCGTAACTGGTAATGATTTCTCATTCTCATTTCTCCGTCCACGTACTTTTCCCTCGAGTATTATTTCTTTGTCTAACTGGCGCTAGCGTAAACGAGATGCATGAAAATGGATGAAACTTAAACAAAGGGGTGTTATAATTCCTTCAGGGGAAACACGTGGCATGAAGTGGGAAAGCATTACGCCTTCCAAGGTGGCAWGGTAAGTTATCTTACCCATGGCAGATGTTGAGTGTTATTGTGAGAACGAACAACTATCGCTGATTGTTGTACAGACAAGCTAAGGACTGGCCGTAGAAGAAGGCAGCCGAGGTATTGATAATCTGATAAGTTGAACGATAGTCGAAAAGTTCGGTAAATGTCGGCGTATTTTAGTAAGCCATTTTTAATACAATTCATAAATGACTTTTATTTTCTATGATATAGAAGCTTCACTTGTATTTAACTATCAAAACCCACTTCTTTAAATAAACTTCATAAATATTCATGAAAACGAAAATTCAATTTCCAATCCAATTTCTCACGAAAGTTGCTTTAGTGGCAGAATTAACACAGCACGAGACATATTTATTTATCATTAACGCTTTTCATTAAACAGCTAACAAACAGTCCTTGAAAATTAAATTTTTCCTTGTTTTATCCTTGCTCTTTAACGAGACACGCTCGTTACCCGAAGGCTACAGGTGACGAAGTGAAAAAACACTTGGATGCATGAAAAAAGAGTGTATGTTATTTCTCTTTATTTAATGTAATAGTTTTATCCCTTTTTGGACATCGTATTTCGCATTTAGAGATATATTTCTTTTGATTTTCGTTATTAATACCGCCTCTGTCCTACGAACTTCTATAACCATGGGTACGGCCGCAAATCGCACACAAAAATATCAAAAATTAATAATTTGTATTACTTGTTATGCATTATGAAGCTTAGTGAAAATCTTCTAAATAGAGTCTTATCAAACAAACAGAACCCTCTCAGGACTATCGAGGATGTTGGGTCATTATCGAACCTTGATGCACCCGTAAACCAGACTCAAATGAAATCAATAATATATAACAGAATATTTCATTCACAATAGGAAATCGGGCCATGAATGACCAAAAAAAAAAAAAACATTCATATTTTGAATATGCCAATATTCATATAGTTATTAAGATATTTAATCATTATAGAATAGTGTTCTTTACTCATCTAAACGTTTATTACTCTACGCCGAATCTACAAWAGAATCAGTGTATATTGTAAAATCCCTGAATCATTTCTAACAAGCTTGTAAAAGTCACACTGATGTTATTAGAGAGAGTATTATAGCTGAAGTGTATTCAATTTGAAGTGGTCCACCATTCAACCTGTCTCTAAAACACTCATCAATGAACGGGTAGCAGATTATTTGAATTATACTTTGGCTTGGATTGGTAACTGATGAACGATAAATCTGCAGTGTTTAAGAGAATTTCCGATGATCTCTTGCATCAGTAAAGACCTTCATCTAATCTTTCTGAAGTAGAAATTAAGTCTAACGCGGGCTACTGAAACGCTCGATCCTTGCGGGGAAAAAGTTCATTAGCATAATGATTTTGCTTTCGTTGTCTTTTTCTGGCTTATTTTCTAATCCACCATGCAATATTATCACTACTAATTACAATAAAAAATAGCTACTACTGAAAGAACTATTATCAGAGAGCAAGGAAAATGACTAGACCGATCAGTATTTTTCGGAGAAGTTCCCTGAGAATTGGATTATTGATTATCAGTTTTTGAGTACGTGTTGGAAGATGATATACTTGAAGACAAAAAGACCGCGTTGAATCGAAGTCAGCACAGCGAAAATGAAAGCATAAGAAGCTGAAATATTCATACTTTTCGTTTTTATAATTCTTGTTTATTCATTACACAAAAGGTCCAGCCAAAATCATGTACGTGGTTATCCATGAATGCGTAAAAATATGGAGAAATCCTTACATATAGTACGAAAAGGTAAACCTCAAATCGYACAAATGGTTTTGAAGAAAAAGTTTTAAATTTTTGAGAAAATCCRAGAAAAAGTCGATAATCTTAACGAAATGTTCGAATGCTAGGCACAATTCATATTTCAAATTATTTATTTAACAAGACTAAGGCATTGGCACCTTTGAATACACCAACTTTCTCGATTTGAAAATTTATTTTGTTAGTTATTTTAAGAAGAAATATGGTCAACTTACGTGAATAACTTGTGTTGGAACGCAGCTTCGTACTTGGAACTTGAAACTGGTTAACGACGTTTGTTGTTGATKAACAACCCGAGCTAATATGAGTTGGGCTGGGCTGAACAAAGGCCACCTTGCGAGCAGATTAATAACAATAACATTATGGAGATTTATGCTAATTTATGTGTAATTAAGGACCCAAGACGCCATTTTAGGTGTTCATTAATTGATAGAATAAAACAGAAAATTTTTTATGCCTTGAACACTACAGCTTTAAGGAAGCAACAGCTGAAAAAAATTTACTTCTCGAGGCTGAAAAGTTTAGKTAAGTGATTTTAATTTCCTAAAGCAGAAGTTATCCATGATAATAAATAATAGTTAAAAGATAAACAACGAGTACAATAGCAGTACTTTGTATTATAATGCTACTTGGAGTTATTAGAAAACACAAACTTCTATAACTTGAAATAATYATATAAACATTGTGTCACAAAACAGACGTGGAAAAATTTAAGAAGCATTTAAAATTTAAACCCAAGAAAAAAATCATTAATCGAAAATAAGTTTGAATATTTTATAAGATGTGTTTGATGCTATAAGCAATGTGTAATTGTTGATAGTTTTTAGAATATTTATGACTGTCTTTGTAATAACGTGACAAAGATTTTCTTTTGAGTTACTTTATTCCAAACCGTGCATGGTATCACCATTGTGTATGAGAACAATTTCGGATTAAGATGAATCAACGGTTCATTCTAAAGTACGTCATTACATCGTTTGGTAGATGATATCTAACTGCTCAGGATCTAAGGGATATAGCAAGTTTAGGGCTCATATTCTACATTATTTCAAACCCTTATCCAAAAATTACCCCATTTCAGAGTGACAGTTGTGTTTAGAAACATCTCCAAGAGAGTTCCCATGTTCTTGTATCTGCAACAGTGTTACGTCATAGCCGCCATGTCAGTTAGTGAAGATGAAAGAATAACCGGCTCATTAGCTTCTAATTTAAGATCAAACAACATGGTGGCAATTTCGGCTCATTGCTATTTAAATCTCAAGAGATTTTCGGAGTCATGTGTTTGCACACTAGAAATTATGTCCTAAGGCGAATATTGAGACATTAAAATGGTTACGATTAAGTAACACAATTTTAGAAGATTTAAACGAAAGAAGAGATAATTTGTCAGGGTTTTCGTGCAGACTTTGCCCAATCGCCTCACATTGTCAGACAAGAGAGATGTCACCCAAGAAACGAGAGATGATTGGATAAAAATGGAAGCTTACAATATTAATTTTAATATTAATATTAATAGAATAGAATATAAATTTTAACTCAAGCGATGAACTAAAGCTTATGAGAATAATGGGGGAAATTCCAGAAAATTCATTTTCTTTAAGAAGCATTGTTATTTGATACTCAGTATATGCTTGAGATTTGAGTGAATATAGAATCATCTTCAGACAATGTAGTCATGATCATTATATTGTCGCTGCCCTGAAGAAGTCAAGTGGTTCGTGTTTACAGGAAAAAACCAGTAGTTTTGACGAAAACCAATATYTGCGCGTGAAAACATGTTAAAATAACACCCTCAGAATGGTTTTCATTGAAAAATTGTAACAAAAGATTTAGAGATTCACAGTTATGAGACACGGAATTCGAAAAGACCTTACACTACACCATAGCCGTGTAGAAGTATACTTTACTGCAAATATAGTCGCGGTAAGGACCAATCACAGCGAGAGAAATTTTCATCGTCGTCCAATCAGAAAGCTCGTAAACGACAACGTCAGTTTATATCGGCAAAACACGTTTGCATCGTGTTCTCATCACGCGAATCTTTTTAATTTATAGAGCTTTTTCATGTGACGTCACAATGGCAATGTTGSTGTACCAAAACGATACATTTTCTATCCTTGTAGTATTTCAATTTTTATGCAAAAAACTGTGCAGAAAGTTYCTATCGTATGGTTCACCAATATGGCTGCCTTTTCACGTGAATGAAAACTCTTTATAGAACCTAGAACACACAGACAACTTAGACGGCTCTAAGTACAAATCCCTGATGACAAAATGATTATCTTTTATTGCACGTTTATAACCATTCACACCAAGGCTTAAACATGTTTAAAAGTGGTTTGACTAAACAGGTTTGGAAAACTATCTACGAACACTGCACAATATTTGGTGAAATAATGCATGTAAGCTATCCTTTGTCTTGCTCTGATAATATTTTAGAAAGTTTCATTATATTGTAGGTTTCTAGTTTCTCAATTGTTTTCCTAATAAAACATAGATTAACTAAACACGTTTAGGTGTGAATGGAGTATTAGTCTTAATGATATCTATTTTGTACGGTGCATATGCTCGTGTAAACTGTTGATTGCGAAATTATAAATTGTTGTCAGTTTAGAATTTTGTCGAACTGCATTCAGCGTATGTTYCCAAAAATATTGCCCGCGGTAATAGTTAGACTTTGAGCTTAATTATTATGCTAACTATGATCCAATTTTTCCATTGCAGAAGAGAACCAATATGAAATGGATAGATTGAATATCAAAAACAGCCATTTGAAAAAATTGAAAAATTAAAATCAAAATACATTTCAGAAAATAATAAAGGATTGYGAAAAAAGTTCTCTTCACAGCATCCTATTGCCTAGTTTCTGGTATAGCTCTGGTGACATAATGACGTTGTTCATCGTCGCTTTGGAGACACGTTTTCATCCATGTAATTGACAATATTCCCGGCAGGACGGTATCTCGCTACGACATACGTACAACGGCCATCCGGTGTCTTAGCTCGGCCCATTCCCAACTCCTTACTTCCCTTCCAGACCAGCTGTGTGAAATGACCAGACCCTCCCTGATATCCTTTACGTGAAAAGTTGTAATCTTTGACTTCTTCGTACCACATATCGGACGCTCTTTCACCAGCACTGTCATAATCACCCGAAAACATCGCCAGATTCTCTCCTGTGTCTTCACGCTCGCTTTTACTGGAGTGCCGCAGGGTTCCAGATCGGGCCAGTTTTTCTGCGTACCTTTCAGCATCTCTAGCCAAATCGTTTGCCCATTTGAGAGCCGGGGCCGAGTGCATGGCACGGTACTTGTTATGAGAGGAAAGGCATTGGTCTTTGAAGGACTTGTCTGATGATGAGCTAGACCTGGGACTGGCTCCGCCTGTTTACAGGTAGATATGGAATGGAATGTAGATGTAAATACACATCTAGAATAACGACTAATTATTAATATTTACTGACTTCTTATAGTATTTATATATAGCAAAAGGAAAAAGTAGGCTGACAAAKAAGAAACATGTGCAAGGCGAAGGAACTGAATGACGGCCGTGCGCGCCATCAAGTGATTACGAAAATTACCGTGGTATGAACTCGAATATAACACAGGAGACCACCAATCAGAAAAAGACAACAATCTTGATTTACCTGTTTTACTGGATGGTGGCCTGGCYCTTTCCCTTGATGGACTTTTATCTGGAAATCACACATTGAAGCCATACAGATTTAAAAATTTTTAACCAGATATTTGTTTCATAATCAGCAAAATCTTAGTTATATGCTATATACAGCTATTTCAAAAAAGGTTGAATACTAAATAGTGACATTGTCTTAAGTAGGATTAATAATAATTATTTATCCTATTTTTAGTGTATTCCATCTGAAACAATATACTAACTACATGCAGAGAGTTAATTGCTGCATATTTACCTTTTATTTCGAATTAACGAGACCTGCAATGCCCCTTTGGTCTTGGAATGCACTATTCAGTATGCAGTATTCAGTATTCAACCTTTTTTGAAATAGCTGTATAACCAAGATCGCTGATTATGAAACAAATAGCTGGTACGATCGATTTCTATTAAAGCAACATCAAACTAGTATTTTTTTCATTTACCTCTTTCGTCGTTCCATCTACTTCTCACRTTTGCGTTGAGATCCCTCTTACCAAAGAAATCTGTAAAAAGAAACACAGAGATTCAGAATCCAAAAAAATAATGGAAACAAGACGAGGAAAAAAAGACAGAAAAATCATTAACGACGCAACCATGCATACCATGATCATCCAAGTTTCGYCTTCTTGAGCCAAAATCTGTGTCAAGAAAAAAAAAACTATAACATTACGAAAACATTGATAACACTGCGAGTTCGTAAGGATGCGTTCTAACCTTCGTCAGATCCATTGTGACTGGATGTGTGAACCTCTTTACGCACAGTACGGACCCCAGTACCTAAAAGAGTATCAAGACACATAAGTAACAAACTCGTACATTTATATTTATTTATAAAACATTTAAAATGTAACTCGGTGATCGTACTGTGATAAAAACCTCTGGGAGCTTTTAAGTACTTGGCTACAACTTGTGCTACCAAGCTCTCTATTCTCTTGTTAGTCTCTAGCTCCCAGCAGCGTGTTTATATCACAGTACAGAGACACGCGCGCGCGTTTTATATACCTTGAATGTATATACCTAGTGGAGACACGCAGAAAAAAGGTGAAATACRTTGCAATGTAGTCTAGCTTGGGAACAGTTTTTCCTCGACTTCGGATTGGCTAGTTAAAATTTAAGGTGTATGATTGAAAATATTTATCTTCCCTCCCCTCCCTCGTGTTCTTTTGGTTCTTACCATCATCTGTTGTGTAAATCTTGGTGACCACTGTTGTTCCTGGGCCTTYGTTGAGTGTCACCTGAAAACATTGAAAACGCACCAAAAACAACAATCAGTTTAGTCTAAATGTCATGAGAGGAGCACTGCCTCAAGGACGCACAAGAGGGCAAGCAATATGCTAGAAGAACGGCTAGCGTAACAAATAAACCGCTTTACCTTGGGTGTAATCTATTCCCATTTCASACCACGTGTCATTYCCTAGAGTATCATTTCTTTGTTTAATGTTGTCATTAGAAGATGCATGAATATGGATACATCTCAAACAAAGAATAATCTTATTCTCAAAAGAATGACACTTGATCTGATATGGGAAAACATAACGGTGCAAGGTAAAAAATCTCAAGGTAAAAAAGTAAAAAAAGGTAAAAAATCTATTGCGGATTAAAACTGTTTAAAAAAATCAAAACGTTTGATTTAAAAACTTGTCCCCACGAGCAAAAAGGCGACATTTCAACAACGAAATCCTACTATGAAAAATGTATAAGAAAAATATTTACGGCAGAACTGCTTTTCATTTTGGACTTGCGGAAGTCTTCTTCATACGAAGAACACAACACTTAGAAAGCACTATAACTTGTAGTCAATAATTTATATTGTAGAAGGATTTTTATAAATATTTCCCAAGTCTTCACCGTTTCAGTTTTCCCACTTTTTCGACCAATGTCCATGTCTTTGAAGTCTTTAAAGAATTCATCRTCATCTTTGTTGAACCTGTCTCTGGTGCGTTGAGTGCGTTCAGAATGAACGGGCTCATCTTCTTGTTTCTCGATTCGTGTTGTGTAAACACGACTGGAGKAGGACTTGGAAGACGATTCGGGTTCCTGTGACGTCGTTATAAAGTAGAAAGTAGTTGGTATAAACAGGAGTGTGAAATCAATAATTATTGGTGTGTATTATTACCAACAACACTACCAACAACATTCAGTCATCATCATCACCATCACCATCACCAACATCATGATTTAAAATCATCGTCGTCACTCACTATCATTATTATTATCATCATCACCTCCACATTACCATCAGCATCACCAGCATCATCATCATCATCATTATCATTATCATCATCATCTGATACCAACAGCATTAAAATCAGTTCTGACCTTCGAAAAAACATTTTGCTCAAATCGGTTCGCCATGTTTCCTGSCGGCCTGTAACGAGCAACAACGAACACCTTGCCATCCGGGGTCTTGGCTTTACCCACRCCAATCTCTTTCGTCGATTTCCAGACTATTTGTGTGAAGTGACCTGCGTCGCTCTGGAACCCTGGCCGATGGAAGTTGTAGTTGCGTACCTCATCATACCACTTGTCCACGGCCTCGTGTCCTTTCAAATCTGACTTGCCTGTTACACCATAAAGATTTTCACCATCGTCTGTATCGCCATTACGTAAGCGACTCTCCTTAGCGAGGGTTTGGGCCCAGGCTTCAGCTTCTCTGGCTAGACTACGTGACCATTTGACCGAGGGAACCTGGTGCATAGCGCGGTATTTGTTGTGCGCTTCGAGTGCATCTTTTGAGAAGGAATCSAGTAGGAAGTTCATGGTTGCTGCATGGGGAAAAAAAAGATAAATTATGATATTGATGATGATTTAGAGTCGAGCGGTATTTTGACTAGCGTGATTAAGAAGATGGTTAAAAATAAAAATTATAAATTAAAATCCTGAGTATAAGAAGGCTTAGATCGATATCTCGTGGGAAACTGAAGAATACGCCGAAACAGTTTTAACCAGAAAAACAACTCTGGCGAGAAAGACATTGTTAATATTTTCGTTAAAAAAAACTAAACTATTATTTTAAACTCATATTTAATACGTTACCTTATTGAAAGTTGAAACAATCCAGAAAACGAATGAAGAATTACCAGAAAATGAAGGAGCAAAGCTTTATCGAGCTGTCTTATGCACTTTCAAGTCACCGGGTAGGATTTTCAATTTKTGCCAGTGATTGCTGTGTGATGGAATGTGAAGCAGATGACTCCCAATACATCTATATATAGTTATTTTCAATGTCATAAAAGTTGTAATTTAAATGAAAAACTCATCTATTGGACTTTAGCCCTTCCTGTCCTTGCAGCCAAAGTCTTACAAAATCAAAAACCTTTAAAACCTCGAGGCAGACAAGGCCTCGTTCACGTGACTACTTCTGCTCTGATGACGAAGATGTTATTGTCAATCGATATTGATGTTTGCAGCTATTTTGTATGTACTTTTGRATCAACCCGCAAAAGGAATCCTGTCAAAAATGTTTAGATTCCATTGGGTATTCACTAAATGCTCTTAGATTTTCAAATTATTTTTGATAATAGAAAAAAACTTACGATTTTTTCTTAAGTGTGCTTATGGACGACGTAGGCTGATAATGCAAACGAATAGTATTGAACTGGTCAGTCAAGAGTTAAGACACTCCTGAGAAGCCGCCTGTCCTTATGAGTCGATTATTTCAATAGCTTGTATATCAATTTAATAGCTTAACTCTTTTCGCTTCAATAAACCTTTAATCTAAAGTCGCATACCAAAAATTCGAAGAGAAAGAGTCAAAATTCCCTACTATATAAAGGGAGGAAATATTCCTTCAACAAATTCTTGAAAAAAATTGTAAAAAAATAGTTTTAGTTTTTGTCATTTAGTAACACAAATTTGAATCTAAAATCTTCTAAGTTCGAAGAGTAAGTTAAACTGCACGTTAAGGGTCTTAATATAAACTTTTGTCAACATGGATTAAATTGTAAATTAGACAAGAGCTCTGAATGTTGTTCATTGTATGCAAGTTTATTGCATGCCGCCATTTCTTGGTATATAGTTTAATTCTCAAATAATTATCGCGAAAATTTTCACTCGCAAGGAGTAAAACTTAATTATAAAGTTTATTCGTTCCCTATCGTGATTCAGACGTCTCTAAAGTATTTTCTTTATTCAACTACAATATCTTTTGCACCTATTTGGTTATTGACCTTGAACATGTTAAAATGTTAAAATGTTTACTTGTTACCGTGTCATCACATTTAACACAGCTCTAAAATTAGCCGATATATTCTTGAAGAATACCTCAATATTAAATATTCTCCTTGACTCAGTACTCTAGGCGCCTAGTTGCTGCAATTGCTATTTTTTGAGAACATAGTGATTTTTATTCGTAAGTTTTGATCCAAGTCGGGCAATTGTGTTTTGTGTGATAATCATGAGGCTACGTCAACAACACGAGAATGTCATGAAGTACAAATACGAACTTGTAAAAAAAACTTGTTCAGTTATTTCTAAGAATTGAGGCATGTCACACTTGGTTTATAAGCTATTTCTTAAATAAATTGCTCCAAATTTGTAATATTAACGTTAAGAAAGTAGTCCCGTAGCTGCAAGGTCAAACGGGAAACTGCCAAAAATAAAGTCGAAGGATTCCAAACTCCAGCCGTAGCTTCCAGGTTGAAAATGTTTTGGAAAAAAGTTTAGTTGAATAATTTTTTGAATGAATTCCTAGCGTGAAACTACGATTTGGCAAGTGTTCATCAATCATAAAGTACTACTTTTTTGACATGAAAGTCGTAAACACCGACATCTATACCGAAGTACAGAAGTAGTCAGAAAGAGATATCACCTAATGTCCATACATTTGTTCAGGTTTCGTTCAAATAAAACTTATGCAGTTTTGCGACGGTTTTTTTAAAAATAAAAATAATTGAGGTAACGTTTTGTATGCTAAGTTGTGTCTAATTTTGCATTCAATCGAACTGTACCTAGAGTCTAAGGTTGTGAGATTCGGAAAAAGTTGTACTATCTGACCTGTACTCACTTGGCAAGAGAGATGTTGCAAATGTCCAAATTCTTCTCAGTGTACTTCTTGCAAGAATAGCTTCTTATGCGCGTAGTTTATGGCTTTATATCGTATCCTCCGCTTTCTGCCACGAGTTAGTTCACAGCACGACTTTAAAATACTTCAAGCATTTAATCAAATTCTGGCKTCTTCAGTCTTACGTACATTCAATGGAGCCGAAAGCATGGAAGCTGTATCATCTTTAAGAAAACATTTACATGCTATTGGTCTTGGGGTAATTTGTTTAGGCAAATCTGCATACGAGCGTCAAAACAAGCCATGTTTACATTCAAAAGCTAACAGAATAAAGAAAACAAGAGTAGAACAACTTTCCTTTTTTACAGGTTATATATCAATATACCAAAGGTGATTTGTCAGGACCTGTTGTCTTATTTGCTGAACTCAATGCCTGCATGTTAGCAGACAGGTATATACTGGACTCTGTTTTATTAGCTCTGATATTTTGTATTTATTTATTTCTATCTTATCTATGTCTAAAAAAGTTATATATATATCACTATACCAATTATATTAATCCTCCGTCCCTCTTTGAATTCTTATTCACAACTTAGTTATAGAACTGATACAGTTCCCTCCATACCCTTTTCAAACACGTCGTTTGAATTTGATCTTTTTCACTGTTAGTCTTTAGTGCACATTCTTAAACTTTTCTGCCAACTTTGCCTACAAAGTTCAGTCGACTTTCGTTTCTTTTTGATAGAAATATTAAAATTAAGTAAAAAAAAAAAAAAAAACACGACAAATTTATGCAAGAAAACAAGACAATCAATGCAAACTGACGTCTTAGGAGACAAATATTTGGGGTATTTTTTTCAAGTTTATTAGATCAGGTGTCAACTTTTTTTAAAGGTGGGTCGTATAGTTTTTTTGTTTGCTCTTTTACGTAAATGACATTCTTCTAATTTTCTGTCTTGTTTGAGCTGTGGTCCTGAACCGTTTGAGTCAGCTACTTGACCCTCAAGATACCTCAAAATACTCTTGCGCCACTCTATCAAGCATGCTAGTAACATCACAGGATAGATATTGGCTAGTCTAAAGGCTTGTTAGTATATTCATCAACTCGTTCTTCACAGTATATCAAATGCGTAGAATTTCGGCTAACCCTTTTCTTAAACAGCAATAGATATTTTTTCTTGATTGGCACACTTTAGCCTCTGCTTCGCGAAATTTAAAAAAAATTTTCTGTGTTTTTTAAAATCACTCGATCCGCTCGTGCGCTGATCATAAATTGACGTAATAAAAAGCACTTGTTTTGCATGACCTAATTTCGTTTCCTCTGGAGATGAACACATAGAGTTGAATGGAGTGCTGAAAAGGATAGAAGGGAATAGGAGGGACAGGACACGGTGACGTGACAACTCACGTGATCGCTTATACACCGTTCCAACATTCATTGTTATACCTTCCTAGTTACTGTTGCTACGTCGGATAAGCTAAAATGTGTTTTTGATATGTGTTATTTGRTAAATATTTTATTCCATTACAAGAGCTACATGGAAAGTATACTGAGCATGAAACAGTTTCCTTGAGAAATTTTAATATGTTTTTTCTAATTCAAATTCATTTTAAACTAATATGATACATGGTAATACAAAGAATTGTCCATCTCTGACCAAACCTTCATCATGCTACTGCTAGTATATTTTTTTTACGATTTTTGAGAATTCCATCTCCCTCGGCTTAAAAAAGAAAGGAAGATATGAAGGAATTGAGTTAATTCAAAGACGCTAAACTTATAGATTTATAATAAAATTTAACACAGTTTCGCGCTTATTTAAGAGTCTTTAAAATATTTGCTGTTCTAAAGCCTGGCTAGTTATTTTTATTTCACGAGTTGAGAAAATTTTATAACTAATTTTTTTTATTTATTTATTTTTAAAGTTAAGTTTCAAATGTCTATTTCCCCCCTTATCGCATGCCGAATGAATACAAGAATACAAGTGAAATAATTTAAARTTGCTTTAGTCTTGAAGGATATTACGTGTGGTGCACTTGTTCAGCGGTCTTCTTCTCGTCTGGTTTAAAATCTAAAACAAGTATCACRTGTGTCCATCCTCGACCAAACTAATTTGAACACCAAAGTCTTTGACGGAATTGAAAAATAAGACTTCATGACCAAGAAATTTGTTCTCCGTCGCGTCCAACATCTTTCTTGTTTTCCAGTGTTGCGCATTTCTATTTTTTATTGCAAGTTAGCTATAAATATCGGCCAAAGACTTAAAAATCAATAAGGTCAACTTTCGGAAACACGTTCAATTCATATCGTCTAAGAACGTTTCCAGAAGGTCGATACCGTGCTACCACAACCACTAAACGACCATCAGACGAAGTTGCGCAACCCATTCCAAATTCTCTAGTATCCTTCCAAACAACCTGCGTAAAGTGACTAGCTTTTGGTTGATACCCTGGCTTATTGAAATTATAATTCTTGATTTCGCTATACCATGTATCGACTGCCTCTTTAGCGGCATTCCTAGAGCCTCCGGTCAACATAGCTACGTTTTCTCCATCTCCGCGTTCTCGTGTTGTGTGTTTCAGGCTCCGATCTCTTGCTAGTTTTTCGGCCAAGGCCTGCGCGGAATCAGCCATCTYGGCGCACCACATGAGGTTTGTGACTCCGTGCATAGCACGATAGATGTTGTGTGTGTCTAGGGCTTGCTGTGCGAACTGACCGAGAGAAGGGAACCTTGTAACAGGTTTTATTGCACGGTATCCGTCAGTAGTATCTGGAGAAATGAACACATGAAAGGATGGAAGAGATTGATGAATAGATAATAGGAAGGACGAGACGGAATGAAAAAGGAATGGGAAGACATGAGATAGACAAATGGGTGTGGATGGGTGGATGGATGGATGAATGGATGGATGGTTAGAAGGATGGGAACAGATGGGATGGGAAGRGATGGGATGGGATGGGATTTTTTCATATGTTTATCCATGATCTACTCACCATAGTTTGTCTGATTTTGCGCTTGTCGTGGCTTGAATTCCTCCGCAACAATAACATCTTTTGATTCAAACGCAATAATATTAGCATTCATACATTTATAATCTTTGTAAAATTCATGAATAATTATTGAGGGTCTAAGCTTTAGAAATCAGGTCACATGAATATCATGTAAACCCGATACAAACCTCACAATCAAAATGCTAATTAGATACAGCCACTAGTGGATGTATACTGTTCTGATACARCACTAATGGTTTTATCTAATTAGCATATGAATTCAAAATGTCTCAAAGGAYTTATGAAGTATAAATATGTATTATAAAGTTATAAACGGATTTCACAAGTTGTTTACAACATTCTTGCCTTCGGCTCGTGAATTTATAGCCAATACAACACGGCCACTTATACGATATTAAAAAATCTTTAAGCTCACCTTCATTGACAGGATGTGCATCACGTGATCTTACATCTTAAAGGTAAAAAAATACAAATATTTTGAGGAAAAAAATGCAAATTACATACTTTTAATTAAACAAGATTGATGTCTCTAGAGGCTAACCTTCTGAAGATTTTGATCTTGAATCTACCATTCTGTCACGTGCCTCGGCATATGGGTAGCTTGTATATGCTGTGTGAAAGAAAGAAATGAAATCATTGTCACGTGGCWATAACATGTACACTAATAGGTCATGTGATCATTTCCATATAAAATGGCGGGAACCAATTGCGTGATACACGTGACTATCATTAACCTTGATAGATCGCGTGATCATTTCCATATAAAACGGCGGGAAATAATTATCACGTGACCATGTTATATCAAGCTACAGTCTTACCCTCTCGTCCGGGTGTTCCGCGGGATCCTCTCGAGTAAGAACTTTTTGGGCGCAAATCTACGAGAGCAAAATTAAAAACCTTCGAATAACCACATCATTTCTTTTTGATTAAATGTAAAAAATATTTCAAAACAATTCAAACATAAGATGTAATACATTTATACTCGCCTTCAGATGATTTTGATCTGCCACTTACTCGACTCTCTGTGTAAGGAATGAAAAAAGCTTTACCTTACGATAGACCTATTGAACCCGACATCGTTTTTTCAATTAATTACGAATTACAAAAAAGAAAATTCCATATATCTAGTAAGCTACGTACCGTTGCCCTTAAGAGTGATCGTTAAAGAAGACAAAACAGTTTTCTCGGGGCCGTCAACAATCGTCGTTATAATCTATTAGAGATTATAAACAAAATAAGTGTCATGAGTTTAATTTCATCGCGTTTCTTCTGTATGCTTGCGTGAATAGATACCATATTATTTTGTTGAAGAGAATCCACTACACCATCGCGTTTTCTCCTAACACTTATATCGTGTTCTGCCAAACCACTCGAATTTTATAACTACACACACAGCACACGCGCGCGAATTTTCTATTTCTTYAATACACAAAATTCCTCTGAAGCAAACAAAAACAAAGTGTATAGACTTTCAGGTATCGGCATCACACGGATTAGAGTTTGTTAGGTCTCTTTCATAATTCAAGGATTTTTCTACGGATTCTGCGGTTTTCCTCCCTCTGCAAAACCAAACGTTAAATTCCAATTCGATCTGTGAGTTAAGCTGTGCCCTGATTTTGACGAGAGCGTTGATAAATTTGAAGAACTTTTTACCTTTCTCTCTCGTGGTTCCCTGTATGGAGTGGATTCGTACTCAGTAATTTGCGTATTTTGAAACTTATTTTCACGAATCTTGGATCCCTCGATGCTAGCTGGTCGCTGCTTCTGGCTTGAAGGTCTATCTTCTTGCCACAACGGATCCCATCGTTCCATGGATTGATTTGATTGATTAGGCCACGAGTATCGATTTGATTGGTTGGTTGGGTATGATTGATTTGATTGGTTGGGTCGAGTGGATCGATTTGATTGGTTGATTGAATTAGACGGGTAAGTAACGGACTGACTTGATTTATTAAATCTATTGCCCATGCTTGATGGCTCAGGTTGATCCATTACATTTTGTTCCCATCGTTTTATAGATTCCCTTGTCTTGCCACGCCCTGACTGGATACCATGGTAACGCATTCCATCAATCTCCACGCTTCCATTTCTACCCAACGACCCACCGTTAGATTCTCTGGACTTTTCCCATCGATCAGCGATATTTTTAGCCTTACCAGTCGACTCTTKCTTCTTCAAGGGTTGATTGGTTGAATAGACTCTTTCTTGCTGTGGTTCCCTGAACATTACGTCATTCACYCCAGGCTGCCATCGACCAGAATGCCGCTTGTTGCTTTTCTCTTTGGGTGTTRGTTCTTGTCCATAATCATCGTCCAGTGCCTCAAAGTTTCTTGATGGTGCAGATTGYTGTGTGACACTGACCGTACTGTCCTCAACAGGCTCAAACCATTTTCCAGAGTCCCATTTAGCATTGGGAAACGCCTGGTTATAATCAGTAATGGGGTCCCAACGACCTGTGCTTCTCTTTTTTYCCYCTTGCTTAGGTTTCCCCTGCCTGGTATTACCATCAGTGGCGTCCCAGCCTCCAGACATGCGATTGTTTGGCTCAGAGAAGCTAAACATTCTAGCTGATGTGTTGTCGTATTTGTCTTGCTTGGCAGCAGGATTCCAGGACATCTTACTTGGCGCGTTTTGCTGTACTTTAACACTTGTAGCGGTAAAATAATCATACCCGTTCGACAACCTTTTACGCGGGTCGGACCAGCTAGGCGTGGTATTAGACACTTTATTCTGGATCCATGATTGGTCATCTTTGACCTTTGAAGGTTTTGTTGAKATATTTTTTACGGGTTCCTGATTGGAGTTTTGCTGTGGTGCATTTTGTTGAATCCAAGATCGATCATCATTGATACTCAATGATTGCCACCCATCAGAGTRTCGTTTGTTGAGTGGCTGGCGATTGCGCATGACTTCTGTGTTACTATCCCATCGGCCAGAGTGTCTTTTGTGTGGGTCAACTCTGGGAGCAGTTTCTCTGTCGTTATTGTTGACGCGATCCCACTGCCCTGAGTCCGTATTGGAACCCTTTTTCTGTACAAAGTATAAGGAAAGTAAGCTTTAATATTACTATTATTATTATTATTGTTGTTGTTGTTGTTATTATCATTATTATTATCTATTATTAGCATGTATTTTGCTAGAGATCTAATCAGTCTCATTGTAAYCCGCGAGGGTACTAAGTATATATATGTATATATATATATATATWTATTATTATTTATAAGACTAGGTATCACGTGTGAGTAGAGTTTGTTAGGTCTTCCCCTTGATTTTTTAGGGTTTTTCTACGATTATCTTCAGCTTTCCTCCCTCCACAAAAAATAWCACGCTAAATTCAACAAATTCACTCTGTGAGTTATGCATGCCCTGATTTTGATAAAGGAAATTATAAAATAGCTGTTATAACTCTCGCGTTCTGATTGATTGGGCGCGCGTGCTTTATGAGAGCACACAGCACGCGCGCGCAGTTTTAAGTTGCGTAATTCAGATCCAATTTGTAATTTGTATTTTATAAAAGAAATTAAAAACTTGCTCGCTGTGCTGTGTGCAGTTATAAAGCACTTGGGGATTTGCAGAAATATTATCTTAGTATGCATCATGTTTCTCCTAACACTTCTCGCGTGCTTCATAACTGCACACAGCACGCGCKCGCGCTTTCTAATTCTTCATTAATTCGTAGGTTTTGGTATCGATTGCTGTATATTTAGTGAGTCATATTTTGCAGTGTGCATGTCATAGGTGCTCATTGAGAAATTCCAATTAACTTACAGGTGGCTGGACGTTCTCGTGGAATGTCCTCAGGTTGTTTCCTGACGGCCTGTAGCGAGCCACCACGAAGACCTTCCCATCCTGCCCTACGGCCTTCCCAGCACCAAGCTCTCGACTTCCTTTCCAGACGACCTGCGTAAAATGGCCCGTGTTGCTTTGGAAGCCCGGTCTTCCAAAGCTGTAGTTCTTGATTTCTTCGTACCAATTATAGGTCACTTCTTTTCCGTTCACATCCTTGCCAAATGCCATATAGATATTCTCACCGTCTTCTATGTCCGCGTGTTTTAATCGATTTTCACGAGCAAGCCGCTCGRCCCATTCTTGCGCTTCATTTGCGAGACGAGCGTTCCAAATCAGAGGTGGAGCCTGGTGATTAGCTCGGTGTTTGTTGTGGCTGTCAAGGATCTGTTTTTCAAAGCTGTTCATGTCGCGTCAGTTCGCTAATAAAATAAAAGTTGAAATCATTTTTATTCATTAAGAATCTTTAATGAAAATTTGCTTAACCTGAATGTTGCGTTTGCATAGTCAGTTCAAACACAGTAATCCGTGAAACAATAATACAAATATTTTGCACTAAATGGAATGCTCTTCGTCTCTCTGGATGTGCAAGTTTGGATTGTTTCAACAATAACAAAAAAACAACTTAAAACATTTTTTACATAGAGAAGCATATTATTAGTTTTTATTTATTTATAGATATTTCTTGATTTGAGTTATGAAGGTTTATACATCCAATATGCTAATGAGTGTGACGTCTTTGAAGGCTTAATTAAATATACAAAATCGAACTGGT